GTCCTTTCCTCTAAGAAGCCCTCCCTGACTCCCCCTGGGCTATCCAGCCCCGACCATGCTGCATGGACATGTCCAGGCATGGGTTTGCCTGATCCGCAGGAACCCCAGCAGGGCCTGGGTCCTGGGACTGCCTTGATTATTGGCACTGGGAGCCCCAGCAGGGCCAGAATTGCCTTGGTTGTTGCTACGTCCTCAGCACCATCTAGCACAAGGACAGACACAAAGGAGAGTTTGTTAAATGCAAGTATTTCTTCAACGTCATTCATTCAATAAATATTTACTGAGCACCAATTCTGTTCCAGGCACTGGGGATATATCAGTGAAAGAATTTGGACAAAGATCCTTGATTCTGTAGACCTTAAATAGGAGTCGAGGTGGCAGACAATAAACACAGAAACCCAATAAATGGAAATATAAGGTCAGACAGTGATGATGCTATGAAGAAAGCGACAACAGGGTAAGAATTTGGACAAAGATCCTTGATTCTGTAGACCTTAAATAGGAGTCGAGGTGGCAGACAATAAGCACAGAAACCCAATAAATGGAAATATAAGGTCAGACAGTGATGATGCTATGAAGAAAGCAGAACCCACATGCGGGGAGTTACAGTCATGAAAACGGGAGGGCCAGGGCGGCCTTCCTAAGCAGGTGGCATTTGAGTAAAGACTGAAAGAGGTGAGGAGTGAGGCATGTGGACAGCTAGACGGGGGCGGTGGTTTCCAGGAGGAGGGAACAGCAAATGCAAAGGCCCTGAGGTAGGACTGAGGTGGTCGGTATGAAGTGCAAAGATGGGTGGGCAGGGAATGGGAGATAAGGACGGGGAGGAAAAGGAGTAGGGGAAAGGGACGGCTTGTCGGCCTCCAGGAGGACTTGGCTTTTGTTCACCGTGACCGGAGTCGTGGGAGACAAGTGTGGAACAGAGGCAAGCCATGTGACACATCTGACTGGTGGTAGGAGACGAATGACAGAATACCGGGTCAGACAGAGAGAGACAGGTGGACGTGCAAGTGGGGGAAGGACTCTTCACGCAGCACGCCTCCCTCCACTGGGCACCAGTGTCACCCAGCCCGACGAGAACTAACCAGTCGGGAGCCGAGTCAGTAACTAGCAGCACAAGCAGGAAACAGAGGAAGGGCCAGAGCTGCCCGCCTCCCGGCCCTGCCCCCACGGCTGCTCACCCTCACCAGCCGGGCCCGCTTCACCAGGTCATTGAGCTTGCGCAGGGCAGCATGGCGAGGCAGGCCCTGGATGTCGCGGAAGAGGTCCTGCTCCTCCAGCTCGAAGAGGCGGCGGTTGTCGGGCACGAGGAGGGGCTGGGACCAGAAGGAGCCGATGTAGACGCGCAGGACCTCGGGCGTGCCCACCACCTTGCCCAGCGCCCACATCAGCGCGCCGTAGACTCGCATCAGCTGCTGCGTCTCCACCATGTCGGCCTTGTTGAGCACCACGCGGATCTTGTCCTCGTGGCCCCGCAGGGCGCCGATGGCCTCCGAGAACTCATCAGAGATCTCCAGCTTGTGCGCGTCGAACAGCAGGATGATGAGATCCACGCGCTCGGCGAACCAGCGCAGCACGGCCGGGAAGTCGTAGCCTGGGGGAGGGCGACAGGGACGCGGGGGTAGAAGTCAGACCCGCGCTCCACCCACCGGGTCGCATCCATCCGTTTGGACTGAAACTGTATCGTACCGATGTTCAGGCTGTTGACTCCCAAAATCTTTGTCCATGCGAAATAACCCAAGTCCCAAGTGTCTTCTCTGGTTGCCCAGCCCTCAGAATCTCCTCCCGTCGCTCCGGCCCCAGCCCCTCAAGCCATCTGGCGACAGGGAGCAATCACCCCCCTCCACTTTTTCATTCATTCATTAGACAGATATCAGCGGTGTGCACTGGTTTGGATGTATAGGTTGTTATAATACTCGTGTTTCCTGAGACCCCCCGCCCCCGTGCCTCTGTAGGTGCCCCCAGCCGCCAAGTGCCTCTATCGCCCCAGCCCCTCCCTGTGACCTGTCTGACCTTCCCACAATCCAGCAACTGGAATTCCTGCTGTCTCTAGCTATCCTCTTACCATAGCAGATGTTAAATATTTTTTATTTATTTAACAATATTTACAGTCTTACATGTGCCAGGGAATACCATGGAGAACACACAGACAAGGTTCTTACCCGCATGGAGCGCCCGTCCCAGCACTTGGCGCCTATGTTCATTCTTTCATTCCTTTCACCGTTCACTTTCTCACTCACTCATTCATTCACTCGTTCTCGTCTTTGCTTGTTCCCTCATTCATTCACCATCACACAATGCTGGGGAGAGCAGAGAGGAGTGGGTGAGACCCCTGACCTGGCAGTCAGGAAGACCTGGTTTTGAATCCCTGCTCTGCCCCCATCAGCTGTGTTAACTTAAGCAAGTAGCTTAACCTTTCTGAACTTCTGTTTCCTCTTCCATAAAATAAAAACCGTAATAAGACCTACCTCATAGGACTGTTGTGAAGATTAAAAGAATATAAATGAGCTGATATAAACATATATATAAAGAGCTTAAAACAATGCTTGGTGCTGAACTGTACACCTAAAAATGTGTGAACTTTATGGCATATAAATTATACCTCAATAAAACTGTTTAAAAAAAAAA